TCAGACTGCCTTCCAGAAGTACTTCAGTGATCCTGACTTTTTTTCCAAACACACTTTCAGCCACCTAATCAGCCCAAATTACCCAGTTAACTGCAGGACTCCAGTGCACTCCTCCTCCAAACCCACAGAAGCTTGAAAGCTGTTGTGCTTTGATGCAAATAGTTGTAAGATGTATGTCCATATAGGGATGAAAATAAATTGGTTAGGGCTGTCCAGTCCTGGTCCTGGAGGGTCAGCCAGTGTGTCTGCAGCAGGGCTGTCCAGTCCTGGTCCTGGAGGGGTCAGTCAGTGTGTCTGCAGCAGGGCTGTCCAGTCCTGGTCCTGGAGGGGTCAGTGTGTCTGCAGCCGGGCTGTCCAGTCCTGGTCCTGGAGGGGTCAGTGTTACTACAGCAGGGCTGTCCAGATCTGCAGACACGCCAGCTCGCGCGCGAGGACCAGTAGTACCAGTAGTACAGATGCAGAGCGCGCTGCTCCGGGACCTGAATCAGCTGAAAAAATCAAAACCCGGAAAAATCAAGTCCCGATTTCGGGGGACTTCCGGTAACTCTCAGACCCCCGCACGTGTCACAAGCACACGCCACGGGGTGAACATCGATCCGAGCAGCTGCGTTTCTCTCGGACAACATGCAGCGCAGAATCAGGCGTGACGGGCATCAGGAGAACTGTCACGTCGCCTCGGGAAACATCGCCCACAGGAGTTTTACGTTCTGGACCCTGGGCTTTCGGGCTGCGCCGATACCCCGAACACAGTCCGGTTATCGCCGGAGAAAACGGACCTCTCCCCCCCTCCCGTCTTACTCTCTCTCCGGGCGAATCGCGCCGACACGACAGAGAGCTCAGCCACACTAGAAACCCGCAGGAGAGATAACGCGCCAGCCCCTGAGAAACGCGCTCATACCAGGAGAGATAAGGATCGCTGAGGGGTTGCAGAGCAGCCTACGAGCTCCAGCAACCCGAACCCGAGAGCCACGGGATTAAAAAAAACAAGTTAAGAAGACGCGAGAAGAGCGACACTTCGAGTGTAAAAACAAACGAATTTGAAAATAATGCACCTACTGTACAACAGTTGTGAGAGCAGCCCGGAGACACGTTTTTTACCGTCAGTGCCTCCGTCGGCGCCGCAGGGTGACGCGGCCCGTGTCCTTTCCTCTCGGTGCGTGTGCGTGGGTGCGAGTCCGTCTCCCGCGAGCAGCGAGCAGCGAGCAGCGCGCGTTGCGCACCAGAGACTGACTCACTCTCCCCCGCGAGTGAACATTATAAACAGCTCCTGTAACAGGGCGATAGTCACGCTTCCTCAAACTGTAACCAGGAGGCTTGCGGGGGGAGTTCACTCAGAGCGGTTTATCCGAAGTCAGATGATTTGTTGTTTTTCTTCTTGTATCAGAGGCTCTCTCCTCCCCGCTGCGTGCGCTCCGGGGCTGAGCCTCTCCCCGTTCTGGTCTCGGGGGGTCACCCCAGAAAAGCGCTCCTGCTCCTGGGAAGAGGAAGGAATTTGTGGGGGTTGCTGCTGAACCCAAGCCCCCGCGCTCCTCTCCCCGTGTCTTCCCTCCACACGGCGAAACCCGCCGTATGAACACCAGGAAGCTGTCCTCCTGAAGCTGAAGGGCTCAGCTGGCGAAGAGAGCCAGTTTTGGGGAAACAGCACGGGAGATTTCATAAAGGCTCAGCCTTCGCACTCTGAGCGCTAGAGTGAGGTACCCTCCGTCTCCTCCCTGGATTCTCCTGTGTTCAAGACTGAAGATATTTAGTGCATTTGAGCTGCCAGGGTAAGATGCAACTTTAAGGCTTCCAAACTGTGTCAATTTCAACTTCCGCAGGGAGTAAAAAAGTATTGTAGAGCTGGTCCACCCCTCCACTTTCTCAGTCTGCTTTATCCAGTTCAGGGCCGCAGGGGAGCTGGAGCCTATCCCAGCATGCAACAGGCACAAGGCAGGACACACCCTGGGCGGGACGCCAGCCCATCACAGGACACACACAATAACACCAGAGCCGATTTCCCCGATGAACCCACCAGCATGTCTTTGGATTGTGGGAAGAATCCCTTGTGACTGCGGGGAGAACATGCAGACTCCACCCAGACAGCTAGGCAGGCCCAGAATTGAACCCAGAGCCCCAAGACTGCAAGGTAGTGATGTTGACCCCTGAGCCACCCCGGTTCAGAGATCATCTCAAATGGAAACATCAACCTCCTGTGACTCGCAGGGTCAACAGGTGCCCAACCCCAGCTCTCCCCACTCGTGAGCTCAGGCTGACCTTTGACCTGCTGGCCTGGCCCCGCCCTGTCGGTGACAAACCGGCTCTGAACGGACGGAATTCCCTGCCGGGGCCCGTGCCAGCCTGCCTGGGCTCTTCCAGGGATGCCTTTGTTTGGCAGGCAGTTCCGAGAAACCCCCTCAGCCCTGCCAAGCCCGGCCCGCAGCCTCCCGATCCCCGTGAGCGGACGGGGCCGTGCACGAGCAGGAAACCGGCGCGCAGGAGCCGCCAGGACAGGCCTGCAGGAAGCCCTCTGAAGGAGCAGGCGTGCTGTGCCTGGTGTTGTTTTGTCTCCCTGCTGCACTGCTGCCCCCCCAGGCCAAAACTCAGCTGAGCTCCGTGTGCTCCGAGACCCACAGGACAACACATCTAATTTATTTTTTTTAATTGAGAAGCAGGAGCAGAGCGGGACCAGGCACCTGTATCTGAGCTGCAATCAGAAAGCAAACAGCTTTTTCACGGTGCCCCCTTTTCCAGCACAAGATACAGCTGTGTCCGGGCGGCCTCGAGAGACGTCCCCTCGTGCAGAGAGCAGGCAGAATTAAATTAGCACTTCCTGTGGTGCAGCATGGTAAGACAGAAGTGCTAAGTGTGGTAAAGCCACACTTAGCAGCACAGAGAGCTGTGCTAAAAACAACAGAGACATTTTAGTTTTGAAAAAAGGCCTAATATCTTGCTCATGGAAATCCCTGTGCCTACTGTATGTGTCGATCAACCTTCAGTAATCTGTCTTCCTGTGCCTTATCTGTTCATCACCTCTTCATCTGTCCCACTGATCTGCCAGTGTTTCATCTCTCGTCTGTCATCTCTCCGAGACAAAGCGCAGTACTGAAACGGTTTCCTTCTGACCGCGCGTTTCACAACAGCTGCCAAGAAAAGTCCCCCCACGCCCATATCCGTTCCTGAAAGGGCCAGCCAAGCTGAACGTGCGAAAGACAGACAGACACGGAGCCCGAAATCGAGGGCCTGTTGGGTCCGTTCAGCCAGTGCCAGTACAGTCTGCTGCACCCCCAGCACGGGACAGGCAGAAGCAGGTGGGAAGCCTGGGAGGTAGGCCTGGGTTTATGGACGACACCACGGGAGAGACCGAGACATACTGTACAACACACAGCGAGGGTACGTCGAGGAGGAGCGGCAGGGTGGTGCCGTGGGGTCCTGGGTTCGAGTGGGTACCATGGATTGGTCTCCCTCCTGCAACACTCCAGAGACGTACCTGTACCGCCCTGCTCACCTGGTGTCTCCGAATCCCCCCCCGCAGGTATCCGAGTACATTACACAGAGCACTTCAAGACATCTTCTTAGGGGTCTGGACCCTGCAGTGGTTTTAGTCACAATCTGGCGTTTCCTAAAACGGGGGGCCTCCGGGTGGGCGCCTCGAGACCCCGGGACCCTGTCCGCAGCCCAGCTGTGTCTGCGCCTGCGGACGGGAATGTGCGCTGGATCAAGCTGAACACGGAGGAGGAGAGTGTGTCCGGTGTCCGGTGTGGGAGCAGCTGGGAGTCCGTCCCGAGAGCCTGCGCCACTCTTCAGCCTCAGTGCTGGTATGAGCTGATGGTTTGAGGTGAAATTTCCATTGCTGCTGCTCTGTGTTTTTTTTGGCAGTGTTTCACTTTTGATTGTACTGTTCCTCCACTGAGCCTGTATTTTCTTTTGTGGGGTATTTTCGTGTTTTCTTGTCATTTTGTGTATTTCCTGCAAATGAACCGCACTTATGTGTTTCACTGTGTGTTTTGGGACTCCTGGAGCTTTAGAATTCTCAATGGCACCACAGGCCCGGTCACTGCCACACTGCCAAGTGGATTATATATCCACACGTATGTCTGTTACACGGCTGGGACATTTGAAGGAATCAGCTCCCTATCCCCTAGAATCACTGACCAGGAGATGAGTCACAGCAGAAGGACTTTTGACAGGAAAACGACGTGTTCAACACTAGCTATCTGGCAGAGGGATGGGGGATTCGGAGGGAGAGGGAGGGATTCAGAGGGAGAGGGAAGGACTGGGATACAGAGGGAGAGAGAAGGATTCAGAGGGTGAGGGAGAGATTGGGATACAGAGGGAGAGGGAGGGATTCAAAGGGAAAGAGAAGGATTCAGAGGGAGGGGGAATCAAAATGAGACACGAAGATCATGGGACGAGGTTACAGAAGGGAAGGAGGGCAAGGGAAGATTTATACAAAATTTCCTGTTCTGGGCTTTGTTGAAAATTATGCTACTGATATTTTTTCTTTAAGCAATGTGGCAAAACCCAAGCCTTTTGCAGGCTGATCTTTCCTTATCTACAGTACATCAGCCACCACTGCAGGCCCGGATTTCCTGACTTACTAAACATGAACTTTCACAAGGTGGAGAAGGTCAGTCAGGAGCCAATCAGATAAGGCAGACAGAGACATGCGTGTCTGAACTCCCACAGACGAAGACGAGGACTCGAGAAACAAAGCCTCCAGCTTTCGCGTGTTAAGGGAACTAAGACGAAGAAATGCCATCTGAGACCAAGGCAGACGAGCGAGTCTCCAGCAGCCGCTGGTGATGGCCTAGTTCAAGCCCTCGTTTTGGTCATGTATAGGGCAAACGAGGTTACCGTCGCTAGGCAGTTCAAAGACCCCCCCCCCCCGATTCTGAACACTGTAACAGAAAAGGTACCAAGGACATCCTTTTACATTGGGTTCTGAGCTTCCGACAACTGACCTGGTACCTGTTTGAGTACCACCACAGCCCGACACGTGACAGAAAGACACACTCACCAGGTCACACTTGTGCAGGTATTTTTATTACTGGCGTTGTAATAAGTCTATCCCAGACTGGTCGCACAGTAATCCAGGGGTGGGTACAGAAGCACGTCCTGCACTGCGTCACCACTGTCGGCTCTAAAGCAGAGGTGTCAGACTCAGCTCCTGTAGGCTCAGCTCTCGGATACACACCCGGTCTAATTATTTAATTAGCAGCAGCATCGTTAAGAGTTCTCACCAAGCTTCATGGTATTTTATAGGGATCTATACTCTTTGAGTTAATTTTTGGAGTAATCAGCTGTAAAAGATCTTAAGAAAAATCCTTCATATTTAATATTCCAAGAAAACAATTAGGTTAATTGCTTAAATGACTGCTTAGGTTAGACTAAAAACCAGAGGACACCAGGCCCTGTGGGATTCAAGTTTGACACCCCTACTCTAGTTCCAGAATCCAGCAGGTTTTCCAAGTGTCTCCAGATCTCCTGCAGCGGAGGGCTGTGGAGCAGGGAGAAGCTGGAACGGAAAACCTGGAACCTGGACACCGTGGACCGGAATTGAGAACCTGTTCTTTACAAAGGTATAAAGGCAAAGCGCAGGAGAACAGCATAAACACACTCACATTTCAGCTTTGGCGGCTACTGAAGAACACACACAGCTCCTGTAAGAACAAGCACACCGAGTACACTGATAGTCTGAAAAATGACTTGGGCTCGTAGCTGGGCTCTGCTGATCCGGAGCTCTCATCTGATTCTTCTGGGAGCAGAGTGGAAAACAGGAAGATGGGGAGTGTCTCTTCAAGGAGGTGGCTGAACGCCAGCCACTGTGCACTCATTTTAAAATAAAAAAAAAAGAATTAAAATATCTTTCAATTTAATTGCTCATCTCAGTAATTGCTTTTTTTCGGTGGTACCATTGGCTTTTTATTACCTGATTGGCCTTATTAAGAGCACACATTTGTATTAATTTATTTTAGAAGATGCTGGCAATGATAACTATCGAGTTATTTGCTCCACATTCGTCTATACATTATACCAGTAAAAAGATGATTCTCCCAACAGATCTTAGTGAGAAATTCCTGATTAAAAGTGAACTCGCTCTCCCTCTGTGTGGAGCCCTTCCTGCTGCAGGACTGTTATCTCCTCTAAACCTCCTCTGCAAGGTGTGGGCAGAGCGTGGAGGCAGCACTGCAGCACTTTCTGCTGCTGTAGTCGGCGAGTCTGCCCTGGGCAGCCTGTTCACATCTCCTCCTCTTTGCTGGTTTCGGGGAGGTTTGCTCTGTTCTCAGGGCTCTCTCAGCACGCTGTTTCCGAGAGTTTACCAGCTTTGAAGACACTATGAAAACTATCAAGCTATGACCTCAGCCAAAGGCAGGAGTATTACTCACACCAGATTCAAACTCGATAACACTACTCATCTTAGTACACAACAGCGTGTTGAACACAACCTTCTTTGACTGCAGATTGTACACAAACTGTACACACTGCACACCTGGTGTATACAGAGCGTTTACCCTGCACATCTGCTGGAGTATACAGCCTGTACACACCTCTTATTACAGACTGCATCAACACTGCACTGCTGGGGTATACAGACCATATATACACACACACTCACTGCACACCTGGGGTATACAGACCGTATGGACACACTCACCGCCCACCTGGGGTATACACAGTGCACACACTGCACACCCGGGGTACACAGACCACATACAAACACAGACTCGCTGCATACCTGGTGTATACAGCTGTACAGAGTGCACACCTGGTGTACTGATTCTTACTGGAGCCCCTATACATGTGCAGACAAGCGCCTTTGAGCAATGCAGAAGACAGAGAAGCTGGCAGACTCTCGGGACCGCACAGTGCAGCGCCCCCTCTGGCTGGGCGCTCAGGGCGCGGTGTTGTAGACGGAGAGGTCGGAGGCAAGTGTCACGTGCAGCTCCCAGGGGAACTGGTTGACTGGCCGCCTGACCCCAGCTTGACCTTTGCTCTCCGACACCATGAGTTTCACATCCGTGTCGTCCAAGATGCGGATCAGGTCCCCTTCCGGGTCACGGTAGTTCAGCGCGATGTCGTGCAGACTGAACACTTCCCTGGGGGGGGGGGGAGAGAGAGAGGGGGGAGTGGTGCTGGTACAGAGTGGCTGGACTGAGCCCTGAGAACAAAGACGCCCTGGCTGACTGGACACTACGGAAGGTGGTTCCTGAAGGGTCACGGTTATTGTAAGGGTGCTCCGAGAGCTCTTTCCACACACCTGTGGAAGTTCTCCCGGTTCAGCCTCTCCTAACGAGCAATGCTCTGTTATGTCTTTGTTCTGAGCGCTGGACTCCCTCCCCTGGCCTTTCAAAACGGGACTCTTGCGCACGGACTCCTGCAGGCAAGTCGGACCTGTACTGGACTTCACCGTAACGGCCAGCTGGGAACCCCCCTCCAGGCCCTGTGCGTGTGGCCCTTTTGGCCAGTTCTCTCCCTCCTTGCGTGCCACCAAGGTCCGCCCCCTCACGCTTGGTGCCAAGCTGAAACCGGGGCTCAGACGCATGCAGGCGCTCCCCGGATATTCTGCAGGAAGTCGGCCTCCCGCAGTTCCTCTCCGGGCCAGCTGACATCAGCTGTGCGTCAGCTGCTTCCAGGGAGCCGAGCGCTTTCGGACAAGGTCATCACTTCGCAAGATTTCTCAGAACTCTGGCGGTTTTGCTGCCAGTTTTTTTTTTCTCTCCTCTTGCTAGCAAATGGTAAAAAACGACAACAACAACAAAAAAAGCTGTTCCTCTTTCCACTGCACTGCTGTGCATCGCGCCCCCCCCCCCGGCCCCAGGGGGAACTGAAAGTCAGGGGGTAAGTGTGCGGGGGAGCAATTACTAGCGTCGCGCTGGCCTCCGCTGCAGAACGCTACCTGGACTGTGTGATCCACCTGCAGGAAGTGTTACGGGATACATTCTCCTCCAACGCACTCCCCCGTCCAGAACACAGTGACAGAAAGCACTCTGAGCCTTTCCCAGTCTCCTTCATCACTTTCATTGTGCGCTTTTTACTCATGAACGTCTCGGCACTTCGGCAACGCATATCTGCTGGACTCTTCTGTCACAATGCTACTGTTTTTCATGCAATTGAAATGTAATACAGTTTTTAAACACCTTGTAGCTTGATCTTGTCTGAAGCTAACCCAAGCCGGGCTCAGTCAGTAATGCTAATTATATCTTTAACACTTTAATACTATTTAACAGGTATGTGTAAATCATCAATTGGTTGATTGACTGATTGATCAATTAATTGAGATTAATGCCCCTGCACACATCTTTCTTTATCTTCTTTCTCTTCTCTGGATGGGCTCCATCCAGCCCTTTTCATTCAAGGTGTATTTGCAGAGGGTCATAGTGCAGCTCATTTCAGCAGCACCGCCAAAGTGTAGCCCGGTCTCGTCAGGTCTCGGAAGCTAAGCAGGGCCAGTACTTGGACTGGGACCCTGGCTGTGATCTCCGAGCTGTAGGGACTCATCCTGGACTGGGACCCTGGCTGTGATCTCTGGGCTGTAGGGCCTCATCCTGGACTGGGACCCTGGACTGTGATCTCCAGGCTACAAGGGCTCAATCCCAGGCAGACATTTTATTGTAAAACATGAGAAGAAAAGATGCAGCAAAAGCTCAGCTGCCATACCTCATCCGTGTGAGCAAGTCTTTGTAGGAAGGCTGCACAGACAGGTCCTCTTCAACACAGACATCCCTGAAACACAGACACACACAGACAGGTCAGGGGGCTGGAGAGAACTTCTCCATCCAATCACATGCTATCAAATCCGTCCCTATAGCCATCTCTCTCAGGCACTCTGCGTCACTCTGCCTCCCTCCCTCTCACAGCAGGGGCCTGCCCTAAGGGTAACAGTGCAGATCTGCGCCCGACACCCTGACACGGAGCCGCCGAGCTCCGGTTCGAGCGGCGCCCTGCGGAGCGAAGACGAGGCAGACCCTCCGCCTGGCCAGCGTCGCGGCCTTGGGCTCACTGACCTGAGCTGCTGGCGCCGGCTCTCGTACAGATAGCATCGGAGGCAGCTGGAGCTCCCTGGGCCCTTCCCAGCCTCCCCGCCCTCGTCCGAGTCACTGTCGTCGGGCAGCGGCTTGATGATCTTCACAAAGGAGCGCGGGAATATCCCCGTGACCTCCTGCACCGTGCCCTGAGGGAGGAGCATGGGGGAGAGGAGGGGCAGGGAACAAGGAGGAAGGAGGGACGAACGGGAGGGGAGAGAGGAGAGAGGGAGTCAGGAGTCAGGAGAGAGGAGAGGAGAGAGGAGAGAGAGGAGAGTCAGGAGAGAGGAGAGTGGAGAGATTGAGTCAGGAGTCAGGAGAGAGGAGAGAGGGAGTCGGGAGTCAGGAGTCAGGAGAGAGGAGAGAGGAGAGAGGAGAGAGGAAGTCAGGAGTCAGAAGAGAGGGGGAGTCAGGAGAGAGGAGAGAGGGAGTAGGAGTCAGGAGAGAGGAGAGAGGAGAGAGGGAGTAGGAGTCAGGAGAGAGGAGAGAGGAGAGAGGGAGTAGGAGTCAGGAGAGAGGAGAGAGGAGAGATGGAGTCAGGAGTCAGGAGAGAGGAGAGAGGAGAGAGGAGGGGGGAGAAACAGAATAAAAATGGTGGGTCAATCCAGATGGAATAACCAAATGGCCACTACAGTCCAGTGCACCGAGAGGGACAGAAACAGCACCTAAAGGCCGACTGGCTGCAGGGGCACCACAGTGCTCTAACAGTGCCCTGAGGCAGAGTAGGACGACACGGCGAGGGGCCGCGGGGCGGCGGGGAGAGGGAGAGAATCGGACGGCTGCGCGGCAGTGGCGGCTTGGGTTTTTGGTTTTGGTTTCACGGAGGACATACGCAAAACCACGACCGCTTCACGCGAACGCTGAGCTGGTCGATTTTTATTTACCACGAATTCAGCAAAAGAGGTAGTGGTGGTTTGGGGGGGGGGGGTGCTGCGTTAAGAGAAGCCTGGGTTGCGGCTTCCACCGCCACGGCCGAGCAGTTTGTTCCACACTCTCCCGCCACTCTCTGCGTAAAGCGCTGCTTCCCGTCCACTGGTTTTAAATGCACTTCCTCGTAGTTTCCACCTGAAACTCTGTCGCCCGCCCACAGGAGCCCGCGCCCTCTTCCGTGTGATCTGTGCCAGGCACCGAGAGATACTGGGTCTGCCTCAGCAGTGTGGCAGCCTGCCCGTCCCTCTCCGCCTTGCAGGCAGACAGGCAGAGGCCTACCGGTGCCTGACTGCAGCCCAGGTGGCGGGTTTTACCCCCTCACCCCACCCCACCCCCCTCTGAAACGAACAGATGTGAGGCGAGTCAGCAGTGCTTGAGTAACACACCTGACTCTGCAGTGTGAGTCTCTGTGTGTGTGTGTGTGTGTGTGTGTGAGTGTGTGGCAGGTGGTATTTCTTCACTGAGCTGCACCTGCACCTCGTAACTACTGATGGCAGCCTGCACCTTCAATCAGAGAATTCACCGCAAAACCTCGACCCCCTCTTCTAGAGTACATTAGTGGAAATTACAAAACAAATTACATCTACAGTATATGTGCTTGGAGTGCATCTTTAATTCATGTAATGCAGAGCCACAGGAAATGAGGATTGTGCGGTACGATCCTGTTTCGAGTCAACTTCTTCCTGGCCTGCCTTTATCTGGCCCTGCGACCCAATACAGCAGCCAGCCCTGTTGAGGTAATGACCATCACCCTGAGTGGTGGGACCTGATCGGCTTGCCTTGAGTATCGGAGGATATCCTCCTCCCTCTCTCCTCTGCTGCTCACTCTCTTCCCTCCTTTTCCTTCCACTCTGCCCCTCCTCCCTCCTCTCTCTCTGCTCCTGAACGCCAGCCCCGCCTCCCCGCACTCCTCCCCTCCTCCCTCCCTCTCCCATTGTCCCCTCCTCCTTCTCTCCCCTCCTCCCTCCCTCCTTCCATAACTCCCTCCTTCCCTCTCCCATTCCATCACTCCCTCCCTCTTCTCCCCTCCTCCCTCTCCACTTCCCTCTGTCCCTCTCCCTTCTCTCATCTTTCCCTCCCGCTCCTCCCCTCATCCCTCCCCCCCTCCTCTCTCCTTCCCCCTCACTCCCCTCATCCCATTTCCCCTCCCCCTCCCCCTCTCCTCATACGTCTTCTCCCCCCTTCCCCCTTCCCCCTCCCTCCCTCCCTCCTCCCCTCATCCCCCCTTCAGCTCACTTCCAGCCAGTCGGCGTTCACCCTCCTCAGCAGGAAGATCACCTCTCCCGCTCGGAAGCTCAGCTCCACGCGCCCGCTCCCGCTGAAGTCGAACAGAGCCTGCCAGGTAGGACGGGGAGGGAGAGGAGGAAGAGGGGGAAGAAGGGAGAGAGGGAACGGGAGAGACAGACAGAGAGTGTTACACTTGGGAGTTGTACTCGGGCTGGGACACCGAACGGCTGGGCCGACCCCTGTCCTGCCACTGCAGTGTGTGTGTGTGTGTGTGTGTGTCTCCCCGGCTCGCGAGCATGTACAGCACATCTGTGAGGGAGCTGCTGCGTGCCTGTCTCCGCAGGGAGAAGTGGCGGGCGAAGTCAGGTTAATGGGGCGGTGTGCTCCCGTTCACGCTGCAGAGCCGGGGTGCATGTGAATCTGGGGAGCAGGGGGTTTCGGGATGCACGCTTCTCTCTCTCTAGTACTGCTCTGCAGCCCTGTCTGCTCGGCACAGAACACATGCCACCCTTCCCTTGTCAGACACTGGAGAGCAAGCACTTGGGCTGGACGGGCCACATGCTGCGTGGGGCAGCTCTGAGCCCACCGAAGAGGGTGGGCCGGGCCTTTTCAGCGAACCGCTTCGCTTTCGTTCGATCTCTCCTCGCCTTGTCTCGCTAGCACAGAAATGTGGGGGTTAATGCTAACCCCGAGTGGCGTGTTCCCCAGCTCCTCGCGTGGCGGTCTGGCGCTTCACGGACATCTGGGAGATCGGCAGCGAGGCGCCGAGGTCGGTGACTATAGTATAGCCTCTGCATCATTGACACAGAACTCCCGAGAAAAGATAGGAGAATCTCCCTTTCCTACCCTGCTGGGTTACTCCACTCCAACACCAGCGCAGAAGTGTGCGGGGTGCAGAAAACACTTCCCTCTCACTGGGGGTCCGATGAACCTGCGGAGCCCATCTGCAGCACGGTCTGCACCCCTTTTCGGTTCCTCTCTGGGGCCTCCGCCTCGCCGCCTGCCCTTCGGCACAGCCGACTCCCCACGTGAAGACCGAGCAAGGCCTCCATTTGTTTGGGGGGGGGGATCCTGTGAGTATTTCTGCAATCACTCGCTGGCCAGAGAGCGATATTTCACTGCGAGAACAGCCAGGACAATACTCTCCGGCAAGCCGCTGTGCAGAAAAGTTACAGCTGCAGCTCTGATCTGCCGATGTCATCATTCCCGTCGCCCTCCGACCCCCGACCCCTGACCTCCGACCTCCGACCTGGGAGAATAGCCAGCCCTTGACCAGGGGCCCTGCTTGTTTGCTTGTTCTTCTCGTTGCGCAGTGCTGCTGGCGTTGGGAAACAGCCGCAGTATTGCGAAGGTGCAGGAACTGTTGCAGAAAGAGAAGGTGGCAGCTAACCGACATGCAGGAGTGAAGGGGGGGGGGGGGGGGGGGGCGGGTTAAGTGCAAAAAGAGTAGAAAAAAACCTGCAAACGAATTCCCATCAGAGCAAATTTCACACAGGTCGGACGTGGGTTCGAACACACGGCGGGGCTTGTGTCTCCCAGAGGGAGCATGGGTGTCTGGTCACCTGAAGCACCTCCTGAGTGCCTTGCAGATGCAGCGCTGTTCCCCCTCTCACAACCCGCCACACAGACACAGAGAGAAAGTGAGGGCAGATCTTATACGTTTCTGCTGGTTGTGACACCAAAACGTACAAGAAAACACTATGGGTTCGTTCCTGGAAAAACGCGCTTCTCTTGATCAGAGTCCTTGTGCTGCATGAATGTTGCTGCGTGCAGGAAGCTGGACTGTGCAGATCGGGTGATGATGGTGGGCGTGTTCACCCCACGTTTGCAGGATAAGCAGGGCTCAGGCTCCCAGTTCATGGGGTGCTGTAATTTGAAACGATTAATGGGGCAGTCTGGGTTCCCTTCTTACAGTGAAGAAGTGGCCAGAAGTAAAAAGTAAAAAAAAAGTAAAACTGCAGATTTGATGAATGATGTATAACGTTGCAGTGCTGGAGAACTTCCAGCGCTCATGTACTGTGGTTTATTTTAAAGGTCGCTATATTGGTTAAAAGCCGATGATGTCAACTAGTCTGTTGGTGACCTTCAAAACGAGCCAGCCACTGCACAGCTGTGCACCAGAGGAGAGAAAAGATTGGATTTTCGGTAATGGTTTTGCTGGGAGAGAGTGACCCCATTTCGCAGCGAAGTCACTTATTGGGACTGCCCCTGCAGTCAGAACCCGGAAAGAAAAATTGAAAAATCGATGCGTTCTGGAAAGGGGATCAGTCAAAGGATGAAGATGTGAAACGGGGACAGAGAGAGTTGACATGGATCGGCTGCTATTTCAAACTACGCTCAGCCAGCAAAAACCTGGGGATGCAGATGGAAATGCAGATTCTTTCCTGATTCTGCACTTTTCTGTATACGGATGATTATTAATGCATGGAATAAATTGGCGCGCTGGGGCTCCTCAGTGCAGGGAGAATGAGTAGCTCTGATGGGTCTAGTGCTCTGCTCTCATCGTAGACGTTTTCCTCTCTTGCACACTTGAGCACCGGGACCTCACATCCTGCCATTCCATGTGCATTGTAGCAGCAGTCGTAGGTCTCTCGGGGTTCCAGAGCCTTTAATTTGGCCACCGCAGCAGACCTCCGGGAAGTCCAATTAACCTCATTATCGGCCCCATTAATCCATTAAGAGCAGAGCAGGCACAAAAACCCGGAGACACTGCGACCCCACAGGACTGGAGCTGGGCACCACCTGTATATATGCAGGAGTTGCAAATAATAAGGCCCAGGCTTTTAAATGGGCTTTTATGAATGTGGACCGAATCAGTAAGGATTCCTGTAGGGAAAGACACAGTTCTCAGCGTCCTTTAAAATAGGCGTGTCTTTGCAGAAGTGAGGTAACCAGACTTTACAGCACAATTCATGCAGATTTAGAGCTAGCTGGAATGTTAAACCGACGTTGCAGACAAGCCAGAGCAGGGGGCTCTCTGCCGCATTCCACACATCTGATGATAAGACTGTTAATTTCAAGATGCGCATCAAACTGCTTTTCTTGAGGCAGGCAGGACAACAGCAGTGTCTGCCCCAGTCCCCCTATCAGATCAGGAAGACTGGGTTTCGTTAAGCACGCTCCGGATCTGATAGCGGGATCATTAATGTGTGGTTATGGATGAGACCAGCCCAGGTTTCTTGCATCATTCTGGAGGCTTGGTGACAGAAAGCTAATCTGAAGTAACTGAAGAGAGGTGCTGAGGTCTCTGGCTATTAAACAAGTGGCTGCATATCACTGAGCGATCTCTTTCCCATTACGTCTGATTGATACCCCGCTCCTCCTAAGACACTCTTGCGAAGGACCGCAACCTCAGCCCCAGCACAGCCTGCGTCAGCATTCGAAATGAACCCCCTCTTGCCGGTAGCAGGCCAGCCTGGGCGTTAGAAAGACAGGCGCGCGAGATAACACCGGGCAAAAAGAGGAGCATGCACTAACACGACAGGGCCTGACGGAGATGCTCAGGGAGAAAGCTGTCGTAGGAAACTGGGTAATTCTGCCCAGTTTGGGGGGTCACTGTTGCATGAGGTGGTGAGCAGGAAATGGGGTTCCCCACAGCTTTTACTATGCTGCCTTGGGGGTTTGGGCGTTTCCTCAATCCTTTACTGCACCACTGTGGTTTTATACCGGGATTTACCACAGTAAGCCCTCAGGCACTGAGCTGGCCAGGGTGGCCAGCTTACAGAGACGCAGGAAATGAATCTCTGTCCGAAAACCCCCGAAGCACAAAAGGTGCGTTTCAAGAAGAGCCTGTGTTTCAGATCTTGTTTGTGTTGCACAATGGAAAGGGAAGATGCCAAGACCGCGCCCTGCCTTCCTCAGGAGGTGACAACGCTGGCGGGGGCCCCCACCCCCCCCCAACCTCAAGCCCGCTCCCAGCCTCCCGTCGCTCAGCCCCGCTCTGTAGAAGAACAGCCATAAAAAAAACACTAGAACTGCGCCGTGGCAAAGCGCTGGCGTCGGCGGAACGCGACTCTGAAAGCGACCGGCGCTTTCAGGACCGGCAAGGAAAGAAAACCACTGCGCTCTCTAGTGGGGCGATGCCATACTGCCACACTGAAAAGCCAGGGCGACACTCCCCCAGCCAGCACCTCCTAACCCCCCGTGACTCTCCTGGGCTGGGGTGTGAGCACTAGAATGCACAACTGTCTACTCCGCACTACCGGCCTGGGCCTAGCCTGAAATTCCCCTCAGCATCCTCTTCCTCGCCTCCTGTGCTGAGCAGGAGTGCAGCTGCTGGCGCAGACACCCAGGGCTCACCCTGGAGGGCGCTGCACATCACTAGGGCATGAAGTACCCCCCCCCCCAACCACCACCACCTCCTGCTGCTTCTGGGTTTTTTTGACTCCACTGGGGATAAAAAAGTGCTTATATCAGGGTAAGATAATATTATCCATAGCGCCATATTTTTCTGGTGTCTGCGTTTGTCTGCAAAATTGCTCAGTCGGCACAATCTGCGCCCGCTTCAAACGGATAGTCTCTCGCCGCAATTGGACTCCGCTGACCTTGCGCCTAGCGCCACAGCGACGACTACCGCATGCACGCGTGCGCGCACACAAGCACACCCGGGCGGCACTGCTGCAGCGAGCACTGCAGACCCCGCTAATCCAAGACTGCAGAGCCCTGCATGCACACACAAGCTCGTCCCCCTGACTGCTGCTCTGTGCGGCAACAACGCGCCGGTCCTGACGCTCGACCAGACAGCGCGCGCGCGCGCGTGTGTGTGTGTGTGTGTGGGCGTGCGTGTGCGCGTGTGTGTGTGTGTGTGCAGGAGGCTGACGTCTCCTACAGGACGCACACACAGGACGGTCTGAGGTCGGCTCTCAGCACTGGGCTATCAGTTCAGACCTACCCGGTCTGGCCGCACAACAGACGGCACAGAACGGAGGCGAACGGCGCCGAATTGCCGCAAGCTACCGCGCGGGAGAGCCCCTCTTGGCCGAACCAAGCGCACGGGGGACCGCGAGAGCAGGCGTCACATTGGGGCGCACTGCGGCGGAGGAGGGTTCACCCTCTAGTTGGTCCCGCAGGACACTTTTCCTCCTGCCGCCATCCGGCCTGGAAAATCCATCTGCTTCGCTCTGCCGCGGTTTCCCCCCTTAACTGTTTCAGTCAGGCGGGGCTACACCCCCTCAATTCCAGAGCCCTGAGCCCTGAGGTCTCCCAGATACCCCAGAGGAGAGGGGGGGGGGGGTCCCCCAGAAGAAAGGGGACCCTTCCGCCCACTGCGGTTTCAGTCCAACGGGGTGGTGGAACATCAGGCCTGCATCTCTGTCTCTATGGAGCCGAGATCCCCAGATCCCCAGATCCCCAGATCCCGAGATCGACAGCTCTGTAACCGCAGAAGCCTCCTGCCCAGCTCTGAGTTTCGACTGGGGGGTTTAAGCCACTGACAGGGGCAGAAAGAAGGATGCAGCCCTGGTCTACACCACACCCTGCCGAAAGCTCTGTTAAGAGGAAAAGATATCCTGAGAGCTTATTTTAGATGCTGCATGTGTTATAATATAATAATAATAATATAATGCCAAATGCATTCAACATATAATGATATCAACACATACATAATCACATTCGAATACACCCGAGGACCAGAGACTTACGCTTCGTCTATAAAATTGGCCGCCGGTCTGCCTGAAACACAGGATGATGAAGAATCACACATACTGTATGGCACCTAGGCAGATTTTTAGAGAACTGATACAATTCTGATGCATTTCAGTTTATTCTCCCTCGTTTAAAACTGTTTAGTCTACAAGCGCACGGTGTGCAGTATCTGAAATGCGTGGCGTGGCGTGGCGGGGCTGGGGGCAGAGGAGGAGGAGGATCACGCCCCAAGGAGGAAGAGACACTGCAGAGAACAGAACCTCGTCTCTTTCAGAAAGGGCCACCTTCACCTACAGCCCTTTTCCGAGCCTGAATTTCATTCTTCCAGCTAGCGTTCGCCTCGAGGGCTTCTGCAGTACTGTGCCAAAAACAGGCTGACCACACTGACCAGCTCCAGAGACTGACCGTGCTGTCCAGCTCCAGAGACTGACCGTGCTGTCCTGCTCCAGAGATGGACTTTACTGTCCTTCTAGGGACAGACTGTGCCGTCTTGCTCCAGAAACTGACCGCGCTGTCCTGCTCCAGAGATGGACTTTATTGTCTTTCTAGAGGCCAAGCACGCTGTCCAGCTCTAGAGACTGACCGTGCTTTCCTGTCCTGCTCCAGAAACAGTCCATTTCTAGTGTATATGTCAGTCTCTCTCTGTGTTCACCCCAGCGCCAGAGACTGGCCGTACAGCCCAGCTCGAGAGACTGACCATATAGTCCTCTCACAAAACAATTCTGTTATGCCGTGGGGTTGAGAACAGGGTCTCCAAGTGTTGCGACTGAAGGGGTTAAGCATGAAAAGAAGGCCGTGCAGGTCTCCTTTCTAACCTGCCAGTGACTCGCAATCCTCCAAAGCTGTTTCTGCCCCCCTATCGCCGATGCCGAGAGAATATAAATCACCCGGTCCTTTTCTGGTGTGTTGCGAGCTAATCTGAGACATGCTAGGAATGGTAAAACGACAGTCCCTGACAGTGATAAGCTACTTCACTTTCTTTGGTCAGACCACAGAAGGGACACAGAGACGTTTTTCACCGACCCAGACAAATCAGCCCTAATTCAATCCCACACCCTCCAATCAGATCACCGGGGCACTCCTGCGTAGTTTCTGTAAGGGGAGTACAAGGACAGTGGGACAATGCTGTGCAATTCAATCACTGGCACAGCCCGGCTTGTCATTGGGACCAGCATGGGACAGGACTATGCCACCAGTCCTGAGCTCAGATCGTCTGCATGTCAGCCTGTATGCGTGTTAGTCCGTCTCTGTCATTTCCTGACTGCATGTGTGTCAGACAGTCTCTGTTTCACTCAGAGCAAGTGCGTGTAAGTCACTTTCTGAGTCACTCAGACGAGTGTGTCTGTCGGTCTCTCTGCGTCACTCAGACTAAGTGTGTCTGTCGGTCTCTCTCTGCGTCACTCAGACTAAGTGCGTCTGTCAGTCTCTCTGTGTCACTCAGACTAAGTGCGTCTGTCAGTCTCTCTATGTCACTACCACACCTGTCTTGTAACTCTGGATGGTAGGTCTAAGACTGTATGAATAAGCACAAGAGTCCCCAGCATCATGTTTTTGGCTGTGTTGAGTGGATTGTGCCACTTTTGTTTTCGCAAAAGAGCTGATAGACTCACCTCAGCTCTAGGACTTGAGAGAAAGTCTGTCTTCGGTTTCACAGTTTTCCTGTTAGGGAGAGACAACAGAACATCACATACAGTACAGATGGAAGAGCAGTCGATACAAGGTGTATCCTAGATTGGCTTGCTAGCTCTCCACATTTCTCTTTGAGCCGTGAGCAAAATACAGTCACTACTCTCACTTCTGGGAGGAAAACCTCTTCGTACACATCGACTCCGACACCTGTCACCTGACCTCTCGGCCTGATTGGAGGCTGGAGAGCTTCCCCATCTAAACCGATTTGCTATCAATTAATTCGCTTTCATTACCTATTCAAAATATTGTCCCCTCTTTTTGATTTAGCCACGCTGGTACGGATATGTATTTTTAAGCTTGGGAGGAAAAAGTGGGCTTCAAAAGGTAGTTAGCTAGGTTTAAAGGGTAAAGAATGTGGACTGAATTGCTGAGTGCTCACACGATTTGGACAGACAAACAGGTTAAAATGAGTATAATCGAATGTATAATTGAATGTGCTCCTTTATACAGCCAGACATTTTACAGATAAAGCCTGAGAGAAGTTCTAGTCAATGACACAACAGATTCAGGGCAGAAGAACAGTTACAGCAGAGAGGAGGCACTATCTATTGCCCATCCTGTGCATTTGGTCGTGAGTAAGCATATTGATGCTGTTGAGGATCTCATCCAGATGTAAGCAGCACCTGGCATTCGAACCCACTGGGGTGCACTGTGAGTGTCTGGGGTGTACAGTGGGTGTGTCTGGGTGTACAGTGGGTGTGTCTGGGTGTACAGTGGGAGTACAGTGGGTGTGTCTGGGGCGTACAGTGGGAGTACAGTGGGTGTGTCTGGGTATACAGTGGGTGTGTCTGGGTGTACAGTGGGTGTGTCTGGGTGTACAGTGTCCTACACTTTTCGTGTGGGGGGCCTCAGTCTCCTCAGTGCCCGCGGGACATGCTGGTTGTCAGACTCCCTCTGGTAGAAGAAAATCCTGATGAGGTCATCCAGCAGGACCCAGGTGGGGAGACACAGCAGCTTCTGAGTCAGAGGGAGGGATGGAGAGAGAGTGAGAGGGATGGAAACACCAGCAGAACCAGGCAGACACAGCAACGTCTAACACAAAGGGGGAGATGTCCTTTATTCCTCTCCGTGAAAACAAGCATCCACCGTACGTGACCTGCGCTAGACTACACTAGTTTTTCACTTGCGCACGTCCGTCTGTAGAAATTCGGGGCATCTGCAGCAGCGCCCCGGCAGTGATGGTCCCGTTTCCGAGAATGAACCCCGAAGAGCTCGCTGTTCTGGGGAGCTGCTGACTTGCGATGTGTTCAAAGTCCGATGCCAGGCAGCAGCGAAGGCGGGGTAAGGGGTACAGCCCTGGGCTAGCAGGTTCAGATCCCAGACGGGATTCTGCTGTTGTGCTCCAGAGCAGGGCATTTCACTCACAGAGCCTGAGCTCTTTAAAAGGGGCACAGAAGGAAGCCTGCCTGGGATTAGAGTGTCCGAGAAACGGAGGAAAAGCCAGGGATATTGAGGAGCAGCAGGAGGGTTACCTTCACATAGGTGTTGAGCTCGGGGATCCTGGTCTCTGCGATCTCCTGCTTCTTTCCCATGAACACCTTCCCTGGGAACAGAAGGAGAATCTGTCCAGCACAGCAGGCAGCACCAAGAACAAGCCAACGCTAACACAACGGCCACCTACTTTAAAGAAAAATCGAATCTTTAAATCTAATCTCAAAATCGTACTGAAGTGTTAATAGAGTACATAGCGGGACACACTGACGAATACTGAGCCGAAATATGGGACCGACGCCAAACCACAACCAGGTTTAACAATTATAACCCATGGGGCGGCACTGTGGCGCAGAGGTCAGCATTGCCGGGGCCAAATTCCTGACCTGGGGAGCTGTCTGTGTGGAGTTTGCATGTTCCCTGCGTGTTCCTGTGAGCTTCCTCCAAGTGCTCTGGTTTTCTCCCACAATCCAGAGACATGCCGGTAGGTTAATTGGTTACTGGGAAACCTGGCCCCTGGAAGGGGTGACTAAGCGATAAGAGCAACATGAACACCATGTAAATGTTTCCTTAAAGTAATTAAGGGGGTAAATGACACGCTGAGGTTCATTAAAGCTAATTGTGAAACGTTACGTCAGATTACACTGGCTTTTCCTCCAGTAATCAAATTCAGAGCCATTAGAAGTCTTAACGACAGATGACCAAGCGTTTCTTTTATTTTTTACGCATCTGTAATGGAGGCACCGGCTAATTGAATGAGACCAACTTTTAACACTGAAAGCTCAATTATTGATCATCTTTATTTAAAATATATCTGCATCAAAATACGTTTAGAAAAATCAATTTTTATAAAGGGTAATTGGCCCCAGTGGTACTGCGCTCTAAAATTATCTGTACTCTATCTGCATGTGTACTTACTTTTACTGTAGGCAAATAAAAATGTACTAACACTGTAAAAAGCATCTGACATCATGCAGTTATCTTGAAAGCCCTGAAGTCTAGCTTTAGATTCTGGGCAGCCTTTCACTATTCACAACCAGCACTGTAGTTACCAGGACACAAACTGACTGGAGACACTGCTGTTCCTCTCCTCTCACACTGCCCTTGAATTCACACACTGACACACTCCTGACTGGACTGGAGACACTGCTGTCCCTCTCCTCTCACACTGACACACTCCTGACTGGACTGGAGACACTGCTGTCCCTCTCCTCTCACACTCCCCCTGAATTCACACACTGACACACTCCTGACTGGACTGGAAACACTGCTAGAGACACTGTTACTGTTAAAAATCAGGATGACAGCCAGCTGTTTCAGATCATTAGAGCTAGAATGAAAACCCGCAAACTGGAATACTGGAATTCTTGGACCAGGATTGTGTCAAGTCCGTGTTAGGGTTAATCGCTTCCCCTCACCTTTTATAACCAGCTGTGCATAGAGAGCACACACAGTCAGGTAAGCTACTGTAAACACAGAGTGACTGCGTCAGCTGAGACCATACGGCAGTCCTTTAATTCAGCACCTCTCTCGCAGGCTGCGGACACATTGAAAATAGCACTACAGTGCCACCTCCTGCAAGCAGAGCGGACTGCGTTCGGCATCACTCACAGAGCCCACAGAACAGGGCTTCTTGCCACAGAAGACTTTTATCACAGAGTTTAGAAGACTTAAGAAAGGGAGGGACGAGTGCACCACAGGCCAAACGCTCTGCCTGGATATCCAACGCACGATCAACAGTCCACAAGTTTTACACTTAGTTTGCCGTTAACAACTGTACACAGTTAAACTCTTATAAACACGCAGACGCAGTAAGTCTTCTTATTTTGGCAATTCAGCACTTTTCATATAGTAACAATGTCATACTAAGAGATTCCTTTGACCTCGTGAAGGAGTCGTGAAATTTTGGTTTGCTAGCTTTTGAGGAACGAAATGCTTTCACAAACCAAGAGATGGGTGTGCACAGTGTGTGTATCAGCTTGTGAACTGCAGGGCTGAAACGGAAGTGATACCATGTGATGAGTTACACCATGTGATGATGATGATGATGATGACAGGGAAGCTGTAAGACTTGTTTCTTATCAGCCAGAGTTTTCGTGTTTTTAACTGGGGAACAGAATCAGAAAATGGCAAAGTCTGCAGGACAAAACATAAACGCCCAAAACACAGAATAGTTCTGGCTCCATATCAGAGATATAAGACCAAAAACAGATGGTGAATGATGTAGTAGGGGCACATGGGGAGGCCCCAAGAGGATTGTTCTACTTGCTCTGAGTGACAGACAGCGGCACAGCCCAGACTAGAAACAGTCCAGGTACCAGGACCAGGACCAGTAGCAGACAAAGCTGCTATAACTGCTGGATCCTCTGGGCCCGGGTGTGAAACGGAGCAGACAGATGCCTGCCCTAATGTGGCCCTAGACTCCATTTGATAGTAAAAGTGAGACTTGGCCTCTCTCCTCGTTGTGACAGCACCTACTTCCTGCTTTCACTTCTCTTACGGGTGTCGGTGGAAAACAAAAGACTAGTCATCTGACAGATAACCCAGGGCTGGGCTTGAGCGCTCTGTCTGTATCGGCAAACACTGGGGAGATTCCACACAGCTGAGCGTTGGTCCGTTTTCATTTTAATTATCCTGTTATGTCATGAAAACCACCTGGTTTTCACAGACATTTTACATAGACAACACAGGCATTTTATTATATTTCAGACACATAAATGGCACAGTATATAAATGTATTTCATTTCTAAACCCACATGTAGAATAGCTATCCTAATTTTCTTGGAGGTTCTCAGGATATGTTAATATTTACTCTGAATGACTTAATTGAACCGATTATTGTCTTAACTAAATCACTGCTGATTTATGGATCTACAGACGCTAAAACTACAAAGTTCCCTAAAAATCCTCTAGAGCCCTGATTTTTTCCCGATTTAAATATTGTTTCATGACCTGCTTCTACATAAAGGTGGTGTAGAGCAGGGATGCAGGGCCAACTGATTTCAATCAGCCTTGAGCTCTGTCTGGGTTCTGAAGGAAATGGGGGGCTGCCTCTCTGGGGTCCCCAGTAAAAGACAGGATGGGGTGGCCAGGTCCTCGCACACGCCCTTTGACCCCACAGCTTGGGGGGGACACGTCCTGACAATCACGCAGACTGTCGGCAGCCTTCGCTTAAAGCGCAAAACAAGAAGATGACAACTCCTCAGGGGAAAAAAAAAGCGTCTCGGAAAAACACTGAAAACCCGGGTTTATACTTTTGGGGGGGGCTTGTTGCCTTTTTGGAATGGCGGCGCTTGTGAAACGAAAGGTCAAAGGCCGCAGGGCCGACGGCTCACCTGGCAGGGTGGGCAGGGTGCAGGTGTAGGTGGTGCTCTGGGCCTCGGGGGCGAACTTCTCCTCCAGCTTCTGGTGCAGGGCGAAGAACTCGCTGTACCGCCGGTAGATCAGGTACTTCCTGCCACCCTTGGTCTTCACCTCGATCACGAACACCTGCCGGCGAGGGACAGGAGCGGGGGGGGGGGGTTACACAATCTCACTCGGGATCACAGCGGGAATGAGTGCAGTTAATCAGCAACCTCCCTCCCCCCGCTCCTCGCTCTCAGCCCTTAACACCCATGGCCTTCTGCTCCTCGTCCTGAACGAGCTCTTAGTGATTCGCCAGGAGCCTACAGCCAGGAGATCACAAGCAGGGTCCCAGTCCAGGATGAGCCCCTACAGCC